TTACTATCCATATAAAATTCGAAAATAAATAAAGATTCTGATTTTAGATTTTATAAACTTACATCCACTTAAATCAATTAATGACGGCCTCGCTGGTCTAGCGGTTTAACACACTTTATTTCCAAAGGTCGCGGGTTCGATTCCTCGCATGGTGCAAGCATTTGTATTCATGAGCATGATGTTTGTATCGGTCTGGGTGTCTTCTATATATATTACGCATGTATTTAAAATATATCTATGATTATATCAGTTGTCTAGTACCCATAACACAAGCTCTGCTTACCATGGGACTAGATGGCGCTGTGTTAATTGTCCAGGGTTATCTATTTATAATTATTTATATAAAGATTTTGACTTTAAATTTTTTCTATCAACTGAACGGTGAGGTAAGACAGTGAATTTACAGGGTATGTACCCTGTAATTTCACTGTAATACCATATAATATCTTAATCCTCTGGAAACCGAACGCATGAGATGTAGCACGGGCGTCACGTGAATACATTATCTTGTTTTGCTATAGTCAACCATCCGGTTGGACAACTGTCAGCTGGAGAAATATATAAGGAAGTTGCCAAACATTAATTAACAATATTTATAGACTTATATGCACTTAATGACGTCCTCGCTGATCTAATCTAGCGGTTTAGCACAGCGCTCTACTTCCGATGATCGCGAGTTCGATTCAGACACAAGTAAAAAAAAAAATTGTTTTTTATGTAAGTACCGTATATACTTTCATATGCATTTAGTGAAAAAATGTTAATTTGAAATTACAAACAAACACTTCATTTATAGATTAATTCAGAGCGATCTAAAAAGGAAGCGATCAAAGAAGGATCGAATTTTAATACAAGTATTAAAATTCGAACTTTAATATTAAGGTTTTTAGACATGACAGCCTCGGTGGCTTAGCGGTTTAGCACATGACTTTACTTCCGATGATCGCGGGTTCGATTCCTCGCTCGGTGCAAACATTTGTATCCATGAGTATGATTGTTTGTATGGGTCTGAGTGTTTTCTATGTATATTATGTATGTATTTACAAAAAAAAAAACATCTAAGTATTTATATCAGTTATCTAGTACCCAGAATAGAAGTTCTGCAAAACTACATATATTGGGACTAGATGGCGCTGTGTTAATTATCCAGGGTTTTTACGCCTTTTAGTGAGAAGAGGATCTTGCTGGTATAATCAAACTCAGAGATTCCAGGCTAGTTTTTTATTACTTGAAAATAGGTTACAGTGATTGCGTGTGATAATGCGTATAATGATCGTTGGCGAATTTCGAATATGAATATGTAACGGTTGATATATTGTCTATGGCCCGCTGAAATACCGTCGTTCCAGGGTTGCTATAGTAAAATAATATATTGGGCCAAATATAGTACAACCGCGCCTGAACACAGGGTTATTTATACACTATCTGCTTTGTATATTAACTTCTTCCAAATGCAAAAACACCAGCTACTCACAGCATATTGATTATAATAATAATTTTAAGGAATGGAATAAAAAAAATACTACATGTAATGTTGCCATCCATGTTTATGAGCGAGAAATAAATAGAAATAGAATAGAAAACATAATACAAATAGGATAAAAAACACACAGAGCTATGCAAACGATTATAGTAATTAATTAAAATGTTTGCACCGTGCGAGGAATCGAACCTGCGACTATCGGAAGTAAAGCGGTGTATCAAACCGTTAGACCACCGAGACCATCATTACATAGTATAAAACAAAGTCGATGTCGCTGTCTGTCCGTCCCTATGTATGCTTAAATCTCTAAAGCTATGCAACGGATTTTGAAGCGGTTTTTTTAATAGATAGAGTGATTCAAGAGGAAGGTTTATATATATAACTAGCTTTTGCCCGCGGCTTCGCTCGCGTTAATTTATTCTCTTAGGGGTGGAATTCATCAATAATCCTTTCTTAGGGGATGCCTATGTCATAGTAGCTTTATGCATGCAAAGTCTCAGCCCGATCGGTTTGAAATTGACAAAGTTTCATACACTTTCATCCCTAATTTTATCCCCTTGGGGGTAGAATTAATCAAAATCCTTTCTTAGCTGATGCCTACGTCATAACATCTACCTGCAATGTAAATTTCACTCCTCCGTCTAGTGGCTTGGGCTGTGCGTTGATAGATCACTATGTCAGTTAGTCACTTTTGAGTTATATATATTTATAGAGTAGTTAGTCACAAATAAAATTTTATATAGTGGCAACCCTGTTCCAGAACTCCGGCATGGGTGGTCTAAATACACCATGATGACAACTGAGTCACGTTACACTGTACATAATGATAGTCGTACACTATGAACAATCATCAAATGATATTCGACCTTAAGTAGTTGTAATAGCGACGTTACAGTACTTGAAATCAAGTGGATATGTCTGTTAAATTGTGATAAATTATTCTGCAATATGGGACAATTGGCGGGAAAACGTGCCGTGGTCACTTCGCAATATGGTGATCAGTAAAGTGACCAACTATACTCATTTACAGAGTTTTATACAATTTTTTCAGAAACCGTACTCTTTACAAATACTGTACTCTGAAACTCATTTGTATAATTTTATACTCATTTGTAGTAAGAATAAATTTATATTTAAACTAGCTGTACTAGTTAAAAATAAAAGATTTTTTCTAAAATAAAAGTAGTCTAAATTACTCGTTATTACATCAGCTACCTGCCAAAAAAAGTCCCGTCAAAATCGGTCCACCCAGACAGACCGATATTGTAAAAAAAAATATTTTGTATATGTACCGTATTTATATTCATATACATGTAGTAACAATGGTTATTTCAATATTACAAACAGACACTCCAATTTTATTTATATTTATAGATTTCATTATGAATAATTTAGTCGTAACAAACTTATAGGCGGACGGACAAAATTCGCTTTACGATACCTAGTATGGATAAGTCATCTGTCAGCGAAGCGTAGCAACCTTTCCTGTTTTTTTTATTAGATGATAATGGTATGATCTACCCGCCTGCACTAACGGTTTACACTGACGGGGCACCAGTGGAGGGTGATAAGATGAGCATGAGGTCAGGTCAGTTAGCCCATTGTAAAAAATTATTATTTCAATATTACAAACAGACACTCCAATTTTATTTATACGTATAGATGTAGGCATATAGATAAAGAAAATTTGAGACGAAATGGAACGATGAGACAATAGAACTTGACAAAAGATGGATAGAAATCTTACGGCATTTTAGAGTTGAACATATCCCACATGAAAAATTAAATTTTTAATAGAAATTTCATTATTATGTCCCTATTCCAGGCACAAATGCTGATGTTGAAAGGGTATTTTCACTAGGGAATGATTATTGGAGCAGTGATATATATATATATATATATATATATATAGGGAATAATAATATAATTCATAGGGAAAAAAAGTAAAATTATAATGTAAAACTTGACGTTCATAAGCGGCTAAAATGTCCTACATAAATAAATGATTAATGAATTTGAATTTGAGAAGTCGCAACTTTCTGTAAAAACATTATCTGCCGTCTTAATATGCAAAATGAAAGTTGTTTGGATGTGGCTACATTATTAGACGAGCATCCGTATTTAGCAAAAAAAACCACTCCGAAAAAATGTATATTTTAAAAAGAAAATAATTTTTTTTTTACCTATGAAATACTTGCAAAGTGTACTCTTTTTGAACAAAAAATAGTTGGTCACCGTATGATCAGGAATGATTTGCATGTAATAACAATACATCTAGTGCAGTGTTTTTCAATCTTTTTGATTTCGCGACCTCCCTGACCCGACCTGTACAGGTTAAGATATTCTAGCGACCCCCTTGTGTCATAGTTTTCTATGACCAAAGAAATAATTTAATTAAAAGCCTATATACGTTAGTTAGGTAAAAAATAGTTTTTATTTTAGTACATTTATCTATTATTCACGCGGGCCACACTGCGTCGGCGCTGGCGACGTTGCCACATCGTAAAATTATTTGATTATTAACGTTTCAAAAATATCACAAAAAATTGATAAACTTTTGAAAAATAAACAAGCAATACCTCTTCTCTAAAATTGTGTCTTAGTTGTATATGAACCTCGACTTTTTCTTTCAGCCGACGACCCCCCCAGTAAGGCTTTGAAAAACACTGATCTAGTGTTTCCCAACCTTTTTTGTGTCATATCCCACATTAGCCTTTATAAATTTCTTATGTATGTCACATCACATTGAGGGGGCCCTATCGCCCCCCTCAATATAACATGCATAATATTTAATATTGGGGGAAAGGGTTTCATAGTAATGTGGATTGATGATCTTATTGCTAGAAATGTATGGTACATTGCTAGGCTAGGTTAGGTTGACCTCCACGTTTCCCCCTGGAAACCATCGTAATAAATTCTTGGTGAATTTGTCACGATGGGCTAGTTGACCTGACTTCATGTTCATATCATCCTCTACTGGTACCCCGCTTGCGTAAACCATTAGCGCAGCGATGCACCACTCCATTGGTGGGGTTCTTTTGTAATGAGATGATATGTGAGATGACGTGTAAATAAAATGTACGTTTGCAGCAGAAGATTTGTATTGTCTTTTCTTTAATTTCCTTTTACAATAGTGTCAATGTGTATGATGAAACTGATGTATTTGACAACTAAACTATTATAAAATCGTAATCGGTGAGGAGGCCGTATATACACCTAACAATTGTCATCCATAAAAAGATCATTTAAGTAATCAGTAGTAAATCGTTAACGACACACAGTAAGTAAATCTTAAAAACATATAATGAAAAACTGAAATTAAAATTATAAAAATTTTAATAAAGATGGTTCTTATTTATTTAATATTTTAATTCAGTGATAAAAAAAATATTTATAAATTTGCTGTGGGTCGCGAGCTTCACGTTGAGAAACACTGGTCTATACGTATTTCACGCTAGGTCATAGTCAGTACGAAGCGGGTTATTATTATGGTTAGCTTCCTGCCGATTGGACTCACCCGTGGATGGCGGGCGGTAGGGCCTCACGTTGGGGACCGTGGTGGGCGAGGCCGGAGCCCTGCTGGCGAAGTCCTCATCATCCAGGAACACTTGCTCGCTCAGCTCCAACGCCAATTCAGTATCACTGTTGTGACAAGTATTAACATATACTATACAAATATAATATAACTGCTGAAAATATCATATGATTGCATACAGAGTGCATAGCAGTCTATATAGATTATCGCATGCCTCTTACTTGTTACTGTGCATTTATTTAAAACTAGCTGTACCCCCGCGATTTCGTCCGCGTGGAATTTAACTTTCATTTTCTAAAATAAAAGTAACCTAAGTTACTCCTTATTACATCAGCTACCTGCCAATAAAAGTCCCGTCAGCCATTAAAGAGATTAGCCAGAACAGACAGACAATAATTGTAAAAAAATGTTCTTTTGGTGTATGTACCGTATTTATATTCATATGCAAGAGCATGTAGTAAAAAACAGTTATTTCAATATTACAAACTTTTATTGACATGTATAAATAACATTTATTCAAAAGAGCAATGCGCAAGTTTCTTGCTCGTTCTTCTTGTGATCAAATCAAATCATATATCTGTTAGTTTATTCACATTGTGTACATATGTAGATGTTTATGTCTAACATTAAGTGAAAATCCCGTAAATCCCGTGCATGAACTACTGTCATGAACGTTTCTCTGCGTGATGAGTCTACATCCCGAATGAGTGGTAGAATAAAATAAAATATCTATTCAAAATTAAAAACACTTTTGAATAGTCATATTTTTTTCATATCCTACGTATTTGATTAAAGATTATTTCTATTCTATTCAAATAACTCTGTCTCTTGTTTCTTGAGAGCGCCGTGCGTACCTAACTCGTTTACTACCCCGCATTACTCCCGAGAGGTTGTGAGTTCTAATCACAAACTTCCATCCCCTACTTCACCCCTTTTAGATTATTTTCTAAGATACAACATAGCTGAGGACGAGCCTCGTAAAAAGTGTAATCTAAATTGATTCTGAAGTCTTGTCTGTTTAGTCGTGATAAGATAACAGACAGACACACACTTCCCCATTCATAATATTAGTATTTTAAATCCATTCTGATTATTTTTTTATGAATATTGTGTGAATATAGTTAACTTACATCTCTCTCATACACATAGGCTGTTTTTGATTCTACCCCTCATTCATAACGCAGACTCATTAAGAACGAGCTAGAAACTTGTGTTGATCTTTTAAATTAAAATTTTTGTACAGAATTATTACAAGAATATTAGAAAATAAACAAGCACTACCTTCCCTTAAAATCGTGTCTTTGTTGTATATGAACCTCGACTTTTTCTTTCAGCGGACGACCCCCCAGTAAGCCTACGCGACCCACAGATTGAAAACCACTGATCTAGTGTTTCCCAACTTTATTTGTGTCATATCTCACATTAGACTTTATAAATTTCTTATATATATCAGATATACATATACAGAATGATTTTTTTGGAATTTTGTGTGAATACAGGTGAAATCTACACAGGATGAGAGAGATGGGTGTTACCTGTATTCACACAATATTCCTAAAATAATAATTACTTCCGAACAATTTTCATTTAAAATAGCAACACACAAGTTTCTTGCTCGATCTTGATGAGTCTGCGTTACGAATGAGTTATGGAATAAAAAAAAAATATGACTATTCAAAAGTGCTTACTAATGTATTTTTGAAGTCATATGATTTGACGGCCTCGATGTTCTAGCGGTCTGGTCGGTCGGTCTGGGTGTTTTCTATGTATATATTTAAAAAAAAAAAAGTATAAGTCTTTATATCAGTTGTCTAGTACCCATAAGACAAGCTCTGCTTTCCGTGGGACTAGATGGTGCTGTGTTAATTGTCCAGAGGTATTTATTTATTTACATGTTAGTTATATAGATTATTTTTATTCTTCTCAATATTTGTAACGTATTCAAAAAGCGAAAATAGTAGGAAATATTATTTTATCAGTGATAACATGTAAACATAACATCTTGATACGTTATCATGCACTGCATTATTTATAGCAAATTTAATGTACTACTTACATTATATTTATACGTCCATACTAATTTACCTATTTCGGTTATCGGTTTTAGTTACCGTTTATTTATTTAGGTTACCGGTTCACGATTAAACAGCTGATCTTAATAGAATTCGATATGAAGATGTAATAGTTGTTTTGTCTTTAATATACATTATTTATACTATTAACAGGACTTTAACACTAATATTTTTAGGGTAAATATAGTTCGATATGTTTCCGTCACCGGAGAGTCAGTCAGATTTGATATATAAAGTTTTTTTTTTGTATCAACCAGAAATAAACTCCCACCTTGACTTAGTTAACTCCCTAGTACTCCGACGTACACCCAGTACGTTTACTACTTTTTTGTATCAGCTAGATTTGAACTCCCGACCTACCTACTACCTACCATAGGGATAGTAAACCACTACGCAACGGCAACCTCAAGATCTCTTTAAGTATTTAATTTAATTGCATTAATAAATAAAATGACTTCTTAAATCTGAGCGTATATGTAAAACATATAAAACGTCACTGTAAAATCAGATAAATATATATAATTTGATACACAAAGTTCATTTAGTGTCGGCCAGAATTGAACTCCCGACCGACTTGGATGTACGTCGGGGTAGTCAACTTCATAATCATCAAAAGTGCTTCATCGCTTCGGTGCCCCGAAATCTCTAACTATTTAATTTAATTTCATTAATAAATAAAACGTAATGAGTTCTTAAAAATGAGCGGGACATGTGTATATATGTTTTTATACGGTTTCCATCAAAACATACAAAATAATCAATTTCCCGAGAACTTGTTATCATCACCTCGTAAGTAATTCTATTTGTGTTTGTTTGTATTTCAGGTAAATAAATACGTCAAATATGTTATTGCAATATTATACTGCATAGGGTTGTCACAAATTTGAGGCAGCGCGCCAAATAAATGGTGCGTGTGTATTTCTTAATGGAATGGTGCACCCGCCTGCGCTAACGGTTTACGCTGGCGAGGCACCAGTGGAGGATGATAAGATATTTTATGTTACCATGATACACTTAACACCAGTGGAAGCTAATATAATAAGAATGATGTAAGATCATTTAGCCAAACATTGCGAATTGATAACTACCATTTTCAATGGGACAGCGTGGTCGACCGGATATGCTAACATTGCTACCAATGGAGCCAATAGTTTTTTTTTTTCTCTTGTGCTCCAGCGATCGGGACCATTAGTTCTAATTACTGGTTAGGTAAAGTCGCCGGTGTATATCTGGATTTCTTCTGGTTTACCATATGACTTTTGAGAAGCTTCCACGCGTTATTATTTTTAATAGATGGAGTGAAATAAATGGAATTGTACAACCGCCTGCGCTATATACATACTAGTCGTGCCCGCGGATTCTCCGTGAAATCTATAGCCTATATGTTATTCTGATGTATAAGCTATGTTATTACTGTAAAATCCAAATTTGAGACAACAAACACTAAATAAATGACCCTGGACCCTGCGTGTGTATTTCTTAATGGAATGGTGCACCCGCCTGCGCTAACGGTTTACGCTGGTGAGGCACCAGTGGAGGATGATAAGATGAGCTTGAATTCAGGTCAGTTAGTCCATCGAGACTAATTCACAAGGAATTTATCACGGTAGTTTCCAGGGAGAACCGCGCAGGGGCCAACCAGACATGGTGCATTGTTAACAATGGAGCTCTTAGTCCACATTACTGACTATCCGTTCCCCAAGCCACGGTAGATCCAAATATACCCTGCGGACATGTTAAGTATTGTATTCATAACAACATTAATAGTTGACATATTCATATTCATATTTCGTTTATTAACCAATGTAAAAAACTTCTTTACATATATGGCAAGTCATAACATACATATTTATATAAATTCAATCCAATTACAATTATATTAATTAATAAAATTACATTAATAATAACTAATAACATAATATGTTCCGTAGTCATTATTACGACATAATTATATTTAGGTCTAAATACTCGGTAATATTATAAAAAGGATGTTTTTCAAAAAAAGATTTTATTTTAGTTTTGAATTGTTTTGGGGGTAATTCTCTTATGTGCATAGGTAGTTTAATTTTATAAATTAAGGACTGGTATGCTCTAGTTCACATTAATAATAATCTATAATGATATAATGATGAATGACTATCTAATATGCTTCCACAATTAAGTAGTGCGAAATAGGTCGCCCTAACAACGAGATAGGCTAACTGACCTGACTTTAAGCTTATTTAAGCATCCTCCACTGATGCCCCACCAGCGTATACCGTTAAATCAGAAGACACCCAGGTAAACACGAGTGGCGACCTTATGCCTAATCAGTAATTAAAACTATTGGCCCCATTGGTAGCAATGTTACCATATCCGGTCGACCGCCACGCTGTCCTATTGAAAATTGTAGTGATCAATTAGCAATGAATGGCTAAATGATCTTACATCATTCTCATTATATCAGCTTCCACTGGTGCCCCGTAAGTGTATCATGGTAACATAAAATATCACTTCTTTATGTAACGTAATTACTACTTGTAAACAACAGCAAAAAGGTTTAAATCAGAATTTATTATAAATACGTAACTACTCTGCGCGCACTTTGTTTGCGTCACGTTTTTCACATTTTTGCAATATTTTCCATTGCTGTTCCGCCCCTATTGGTCGTAGCGTGATGTTATAAGTAAGCAAGCCTAGCCTTCCTCAAATAATGACATTTCTAACAGTAAAATATTTTTTAAATTTGAACTAGTACATCCTGAGATTGGTGTGTTAAACCAAACAAACTCTTAAATTGTATATATTGGACTACATAATAATAATTACAATTAAAAACACCGACAAAACAATTCTAAAACAAATACTTATTTTTTAATTAAATATAATAAATACTTAAATCAACAATAAACATGTATTTATTTTATTAATTAAGTAATACATAGTAATTATTAATTAGCATTTGTTGCTAATTAATATAACTGTAACAGTAAAAAATATCTGATAAGTTTTGGCTGGTCTAAGGTTCCAAAACGAGAAGTCCAAGGTAAATCATACAAGGTTACATTGAAATGTCTGTAATTTTACGTGGCGCGAGAAAAAAAACAATTATACGTAATAAACACAGATACATTCTTCTGTGAATACATAGAAAGAAGTGGAGCCGTTAACAACCTCTATTTTATTACGATATCATCATATGATGATGAAGTTAGTAGGTATACAGCCCATGGGTACTATTCTAGTGATAGTGAACTCCACTAAATATAATATTTTCCAGTTAATGTAATTTTAAGACTGAACTACTGAAATAATTTAGGCGAAAAGTCTGTGGAACTAATTTGTAAGCATACTTAATATGATGCATAATATTATATGCTGCTATAATAAGTTGCTATCTTAAATGTATTAAATATTGAAAAATATATATCAAAAAAACTAAAACATATTGCATAAATTAAATATCTGTTTTTCAAATTCAAATTCATAAATAATTTATTCATGTAGGACATTTTTTAATCTGCACAGGGGCTTCTAAGGCTTCTAAACAAAATTCTACAAGTGCTTTTCAAACAAGATCGGTTGGAAACTTTGAACATATGTAGGTTAATCTACCATCTGCTAGTACCTATATACAATTTTCGTGTCACATTATTGTCGTATTAGTAGCCATACTTCTCCGAAACAGCTTAACCAATTTTCATGAAATTATATAATAATAATCTCAGGACAATTCACACAGCGCCATCTTAGTCCCAAGTTAAGCTATCAAAAGCTTGTGTTATGGCTAACTGATACAAGTACATAGATATTTTTTTTTCGTAAATACATACATATCATACATAGAAAACACCCAGACCGATACAAACAATCATACTCATGAATACAAATGTTTGTGCCGTGCGAGGAATCGAACCCGCGATCATCGGACGTAAAGCGGTGTGCTAGACCGCTAGACCACCGAGGTCGTCAAAATTTTATATGTATACTTGGTAGGTTCAGACCTACCAAGAATATGTTATCTATTTTTAAATCCCTGAGTGATAACGCTGGCCCATCTCAAAAAAAATCCATTTTATTTTTCGATTAATATTATAAATTTTTTATTTTATGATTTAGCATTAAAACACACAGACAACCCTATATTCCCATCCTTCTATCTTATTTTTTAATAGCGATATCTTACTATATTATAAATGCGAAAGTTTGTGAGTATGGATGGATGTTTGTTACTCTTTCACACAGAAACTACTCAACTGATTTTGTTGAAACTTTACAGTAATATGGCATATACATCAGATAGGCTATAAATTTCATGCAGGTGAAATCGCGTGCATAGCTAGTTAATTTATATATTTCAAAACAAATACTAATTTATATGGAAAAACAATAACAAAACTACAACAAAAAAACAATAACAAAAAAACAAAACAAATAAAAAAAACAAAAAATAACAGTATTGCCACTTCAGCTAATCTGTGTATAAAATTTAATTTTAATCAATCTAGTAATGGGTTATCTAAAAAAGAAACAAACATATATTCATTCTTGCAAACTTTTGTGATTACATAATTAGGAGATCAGTGAACTTTATTGGCAGTGCGAATATAGTGAAATAATCGTATACATCTTATATATAAAATCCTCATGTCACAGTTTTCGTTCCCGCCTCCGAAACGGCTTGACCGATTCTCATGAAATTTTGTGAGAGTATTGAGTAGGTCTGAGAATCGGCCAACATCTATTTTTCATCCCCCTAAATGTTAGGGGTAATCCAGACCAAAATTTTTTTTTTATTTTTTATACAAAATTTTTAGTTTCTATTTTTTTATGATACAACATACAAAAATACATACAATCCTAAATTTTCACCCTTCTATCATCAACTCCTATTTTTTTATAGCGTTATTAATAGTACATATATAATTAAGCAATACATGTGATATATCTGTAACTAGCAAACCAAAGACCCTCCAAATTATTAAATTGCTTCTAACAGGACAGGTACCCTAATATTTGTTTTTTTTTTTATGAATGGTTGCAAGGTAGGTATATTGGAATTAAGGTATAGTTGAATGGTGCACCTGCCTGAACTAATGGTATATGCTGGCAGGCCACAAGTGGACATTGAAGTGAAGTTAGTTACCTTTACCACTGAATGAGGTAATTCAGTAAATGCACCAGGAATTAATCACAATGGTTTGATGGATGACCATCAATGGTGTGCAGGTATGACAATGGTACATTGATGGTAATGCGACCACTAGTTCCCATTAGTAACAATTTCCCCAAAGTTGTTTAAAAAACATGTCAAAAATAGAACTAAAATGATAATGAATAATATATAAAAAAATAACCCTGGATAATTAAAATAACACCTTATTGTCCTATGGCAAACAGAGCTTGTATTATGGGTACAGATAATTGATATACATTTTTCTTTCTAAATACATACAAATATACATTGAAAACACCCAAATTAATACTAATTATCCAATAAAATAATTGAAGCTGAAATAATTTCTCTAGCATTTCAGTGCAGAAATGCTGGCAACATTATAGGAACCTCTGGGTCAGTATGAGATGAGTCGATTTTAGTTGATAATTGTCTTTTCCTTATATAAGAATAAAAAGAACATTGTATTACTAAATTAAAATTAAATTTCGTGCTATATTTTTTGTTTGATGGCAATTAATTAAATTATATTTATTGAATACTTTTATAATGGCTGCAATAATAGAAATAGAATAGAATAGAAAATCATTTATTCAAATAAACTTACATTGAAGCACTTGTCATCACATTTTTTTTAATCACAATCACAAGAAGAATGAACTATTACATATGTAATAGTTGTTCAAGGATAGTTGATATGTAATAGTAAATACTTTAAAAGGTTTCACAATGAATTGAATTTATGAAAATACAATCTATAAAAAAATATTTAAAAAGAAACCAAATACTGGCCAAGCTGCCAGTAACAAACACAATTGTAGTCATGTATTTAGAGCTGATGTTTCTATACAGATTACTTATCTTTGATTGTTATCTGTGTAGGTCAATCTGATTACACTGTGCATTATAATAATTGTGGTAATCCAATAATATTGATGTACTATATTTGTTATCTATAATTACTCAATGAATTGTAATAATCTGACCATAATAGTAACAGTATAGAAAATAATCACTGTATTATTAGATAGATGTACATACAGACACCCTATACTCACACATATACATACTATCCCACTCGCTCTTCTATTACTCATGATTAGCTTGTATTATTTTTGTTTAGCAAATTATTTATATATTGTGCAAATATAGACCTATTGTACATGGTAATTAATATTCTGGTTCCTGCGGGATAGGACCAGCCTAATGAAGGAATTAATGTTAATGTAAACACAGAAAATAGTAAATAAATAAATAATTAATAATAGCAATTTATATTTATAAAATCATAAATGTTATTAATAAATTTCTTATAACAATTGTTTGTGGGGATGTATGTTTATTTAGTATGCTGATTGAGTTATCTCAGTTTTATTAAAATTTATGTGATGTTATAGCATATGCTGGTGGTCACTGTACTCATTGTAAGAAATAGAAATAATCTTTATTCAAATAAACTCATTACAAGCACATTTGAATAGTCATATTTTTTATTCTACCACTCATTCGGAGTGCAGATTCGTCACAAGAAGAATGAGCAAGAAACTTGTGTGTTGCTCTTTTAAATAGATTTTTTTTTAATATAAATAAACTAAATCTAAACCTTAGTTTTAATAAATATGTACAATAACTAACAATGGCATTAGAAAGGCAGATTTGTTGTCAGTTATTTTTAACTGAACTACTTTCAGAACTGATTTAATTATTTTATTTATTTATTAAAGGAAAACCAAGGCTATTCAAGTACATCTTAAATAAAATCAACATATATGTCATAATAAGCCTCTGACAGGCTTTCACTAATAACAATAGACTAATTCTTAAAAAATTTACATCACTATGTATAAAGGCATTATAAAGTTAACAGATGGTAGACTTACCTGTACAGACCTACATGAATAAAGAAAAAAAAATGGTCATTTAAAAGTTCTTTTAAAGGTACCTTTATATCAGAATAATATTAATTTCAGTTAATATGTAATTGATATATGATTTTCTATATGTATACTGGATATTAACATATTTTCGATGCAGTGTATATATTGTGATATATAATATAATAATTAAATAAATTGTCATATACACTTACTTAATTTTAATATTATACCTATTTATATTTATGTTAATAACTAACACCAAACATGAATGTAAACAAACACAAATTATATGCAAATAATAAACATGTAAAGCTGTTAAAAAGCCGACAATAGGAACATTGACGATGTATTTTATAATATCTTACGGGTTTGTGAAGACCAATGGTCCAGTCTCCATTTCCTGTTCCCAATCACTTTATTATGTGACGACGTGTTCAAAAACGCGAGACTTTTCTATCAAGCACGTGTTTTGTTCACACCGCGTACATACAGCGTGAAGCAATCTGCCAATGTACTATAAAAAAGTCTAAAAATAAATCGCAATGCGTGCATGGAGAGGTTATATTGCAAGTTGCGTTTTGTAACAGTTCTATGAATCAAATTCATACAATAATAAAGCGACGCACGTGGTTACACCCCATGGACACAATGATGACTAAGCTAGCGTATGGTAATAAGATTTCTGCTGTGTAGACACTTTATATGACACGAGCCAGCTGGCCAAACAAACAATGGGTAAGGTTAACACACACAAGTTTTACCTATCCGAGCTAGCAGAACTAGGGGTTTCGAATTTATTCAGCTTTCCAGCCATCACTGGTCGTCACTACACAACACTTGTTCAAAGATTGTAATAGTTTATTTTATTCAGTTATTGTACGTGACCGAATGTAAACGAGAGCAAAACACAATACAGTTGAATGCAGGACTACAGGTAGACGATTTGACTTCAGACTTTTTTGACATTTTAATTGACGTCACTTTGATAGATTGACAGACCGATCTGTTGAGTGACGTTTGACTGAACAATTGTCAGGGTTACTAGTCACAAAAATTAATGGAGGCCCATCTAGGCGTATCGTCAATCACGACGTTAACCAGAATCTTTTTAATGGTTTTCAAGCTGCTGGAATAGCACCGACCTTATTGAAAGCTTGAAATAGTAAAGATGTAGGTGTCTAAGCGCTTATTTCTTTTACTTTTTTTATGAACGTTTTGATATTTAGCTATTTAGAAATGTGTTGCGATGCAATAAAAGTTATTTCTAAAGTTGTAAAAAAATATTTTATATCTGTGATTATGTCTTTGTAAAACTGGGTTTTTTCCTAACTAATTGCCTATATTATAATTAATATTTTACTCATATAAACTACGATTTTGTATATGAAAATGTCAATATGATGATATAGTGATACGTTTATACAGATATCTCGGGATATGTTTGTACAATTTTGGCTCATTACTTGTGTCTTCTTGCATACAATTTTCTGTTTAATATAAATTGCATATACACTTTCAATAAGTATTGTTTAGCATAACTTAATTGACCTCACAGTTTGAAATGAAAATTACTTATCTCCTGATATATTGAAATAGCAAAATTGTGACGCTATTTACCTTTGCTATTTATATTCACCACATAACGTTTGTTATGTATAAAAAATCACAAAGTGGTATGCTAACTTCTATACCAGTACCTATATATATTTTAAACTAGCTGTTCCCGCGACTTCGTCCGCGTGGAATTTTACTTTATTTTTTTTAAATAAAATTAGTTTAAGTTAGTCTTTATTACATCAGTTACCTTCCAAAAAAAGTATCGTCAAAATCGGTTCAGCTATTTCAGAGATTAGCCGGAACAAACAGACCGACGGACAGACAGACAAAAATTGTAAAAAGTGTTTTTTGGTGTGTACACCAAATAAACACTTTTTACAATTTTTGTCCGTATTTATATTGATATGCATGTAGTAAAAAACGGTTATTTCAATGTAGTGTAAGATTATAGTAATTCAATATGAACTGTTATTTTTAAACATCAATGTAAATTAGTATCTAATATGATCTATAACTTGTGATTGACTTTTACGACACGTGTTATGAAGTAATTATTTATTATAGTTGGATTATACAATGTGTGTTCAATATTATATTTTAATATGTATAATATTATGTAGATAAAAGTAGTCAAACAGATAAGTCAAATGATAAATTAAAATCCGTAGTAAGGTCAGGCCGGTTAGACCATGGTGGCAAATTCACCAGGAATTTATCCCTGTGGTTTCCAGGGGGAACCGCGTGACGGTCAACCTTGTTTATGTTTATATCTAAATATATATATATACATATTGCACGCTAACTACAGAAATCCTCAGGCAGAGTCACTATATAAATTTAGACATTGGTAACTGTGAGTTTTAATTAACTGCGTTTCGTTGGACGGGGTTAGTCGTGCGACAGTCTTGCAGGCAATTAGCCAAAACTTTCCCCATTTGCATGTTATGGGGAAAGTTCCCGAGAGCGGGCACTCTGTTGCAAGAATTCGGTATTTGAATTTGATTCTTTTTTAATTTCATACTCTCGCCACAGATTAATATTTGGATTCCTCTACATTCTTCTTTGCATCATTCTACGTTTTATATTTTGCTGTAACTGCTTTTTAGTCGATTTTAAAAAAGGAGGATATTCTATGTTGTATTTCGATTACATTCGAAAAAAATAAATAGACTATCCATCATCCATATATGTACATAAAAAAATCAACATATATTTTTGTATGTATGCATGTTTATTAATTATTGTTAGAATATTTTTAATCTGTATTTTGAAGTAAAAATAGTAACCTAGTCTGTACAACTTTTGATGTTCTCTGTTTTTATATTAATTATGATTTTTGTATAGAGCTTCCCTCTTACGGTTTTTGTCTATTAGAAAATGTCCTCCTTTTGGTTATAAGTTTGATTAAATAAAATAAATTCATAAGTACAAGTAAATCATTTCCACAATTTTCATCACTTATCATTAATAGTATAAAACAAAATCGCGGTCGCTGTCTGTCCGTCCCTATGTATGCTTAAATCTTTAAAACTACGCAACGGATTTTGAAGCAGTTTTTTTAAATAGATAGAGTGGTCTTAGAGGAAGGTTTATATATATAATATATGTACACCCGTACGAAGCCGGGGCGAGTAGCTAGTTTATATATATATATATATATATATTAATAATTTCGCCAATTGTGTATAATTTTTTTTTTATTTAATTGTATCTTCATATCAGAACCCAAAAAAGATAATTGAATTTTTTGTCTGTATGTAAGTGCGTGTTAAAATTTTTTGTCTTTGTGATTGTTTAAAAAATTAAATCAATAATCATTTATTCATGTAGGAAATTCTAGCCGGTTTGGATCGTTAAGTTTTCATATTTGTTTTCCTTATCGTAAAGAGTCATATCCTAAGTATTATTGTATTCCGAAAACTACTGCGTCAGGGTATGAAGTCGAGAGCTCAGCAAGTTAAGACACACATAAATCTATGTATTTATTACATGGAGTCGTGAAGAGTTTTACAGTAAATTGAAAACAAATCCCTCTATAAAGTTATCGCAGTTTACATTATACTCGTATACTCTTGCAATATTGCCAAAGTTTTATACTATACTAGCTACCCACCCCGGCTTCTCACGGGTGTACATGTATTATACATATAAACCTTCCTCTTAATAAACATTGCTAGTGTTGCAAAATTTCATCTGTTTCTTTTTTTTGTTTGCATGTCTTTACTAATTTACATAAATAAATCTGATCTCACGCTCCCAAAAATCAATATATGTATTAGAAATATATAATTTATATATTAATTATTAAACGTGGAGCTAAAACTTTGTTCCCGGATGAGGGTTATACAATTTCGCGCATTTATATAGAAATTTATACAGAAATCGAGTGCACAATGCTAATCTCTTTCACTATGCCTTGAAAAATTAATATTAATAATAATGTTCAAACTTATAATTTAAATTAATCATAATTGAAATTTTTGACCGTCGAGCGAACATTAGTATATGTAGTAAAACAATAAATAAATAATAATAAATAACCTTTGGACAATTAACACAGCCCCATCTAGTCCCACGGTAAGCAGAGCTTGTGTTATGGGTACTAGATAACTGATATAAATACATAGATATTTTTTGTTATTTTTCTGGTACAGATTGCGTTCCATTCTTTTATATTGTTATATTTACAGAATGTTCATTGTTAAAACAATTTTGAGAATACTGGAATGGATAATATAATTTTTTTTTGTAAATACATACATAATATAATACATAGAAAACACCCAATCCAATACAAATAATCATACTCATAAATACAAATGTTTGCGTGCAAGGAATCGAACCCGCGACCGGTAAAGCGGTGTGCTAAACCCCTAGACCACCGATACCGTCAACAACAACGTACAACTCTATATCTGACATGTATATAGGTGTTGCTATATTGCAATCTGGCTCTTTAACGAGATTGCTTTCGAAGACAAAACAAACTAAGCGAATAACAAATGAACGTGGATGCTAATTTCATTACAGCAAGTGAATTTAGTCATTAGTAATGGCGCGGCGAAAACTGCGCACTCAGACTGTAATCACTTATCGCGGGTGGAACAGATTTATTTGAGAGAACTTACAAACTTAAATCGATGAAAGGTGGCAGAGCCGATTGTTTCACCTTTGTAGTAACTATTGTATTTTATTTTCATATGGATAATACTGTAATTGGGCACCAGTGTAGGATAATAAGAAGATTAGGTAAGATCAATAAACCCATCGTAATAGATTCACCATGAATTTACCATGATAGTTTGTATGGGGAACCGCGTGAATGTTAACCAGAGCTTGTGTTATGTTTATGGCTGTATAACAGATAAATGAATTATAGATAGATAGATTTTTAGGTATGCATTTAGAAAGGAAAATGTGTATTTGTTACCATTATAAATATAACTTAATATACATAGAAAACACCAAGACCGATACAAACATTGATACATCAAACATACACAAGAGCAACACATAAGTTTCTTGCTCGTTCTTCTTGTGATGAGACGGCTTTCCGAACGAGTGGTAGATAAGAAACAATTGTTATGACTATTCAAAAGTGCTTAAATTAAGTTTATTTGAATAAATGATTTTCTATTCTATTCCATTCTATTCATTAACACAAATATTTGTATCAAATGGTCGAGGAATCGAACCTCCGACCATTTGAAGTATGACGGTGTGCTAGACCCCTAGATGACACCCTAATGGAGTGGTCCATTATAACTAGGCAATCGACAGTTAAACGTGACGCATGAGTTTGTTAGCAACAGGAAAGAGTCGCCTCCATCCAGCCTCCAGGTCGCCGACGAGCTGTCGGTTCTAATTGCCGTATTAACAGAATATATGGTCACCCTCTATACAATAAAATTACTCAGTTCCGATAAAACGAAATAGAGATATGCTAATCGATCGATTTAACTAATTTATTGGTATAATCGAAGATTCTCGATAACGGTATGCATCTAGGTCTCTTATGATATGTCAAATCTACAGTCAGTTCGGAATGATTTCGAAATTCAAAGAACTGACAAGAATACTCAGCTCGTATTCTTTTTAAATATGGTTGTACACGTTTGCAATAATACAGATTTATTTTTAAATTCAAATTTGGAAGAATATAGTGACCATCAGCATATGCTATGGCAATTTTGTCAAAGGCAAATAGTCTAATCAGCGTTCGTAACCCAAACAGACCAGTCTCTACAAGGAACACCTGTTCACGAGTATGATGGATGAGCCAACCATCATT